GGCTATTCCATGAAGTTTGTCTTACTACTGTAGGTTTAATTTGCAGGTGGCAATAATATGTTTTTTGATTTATTCTTTGTTTTGTCTGTTTGATATATTCTTTTTTGAGCTCTAATGAAGTACTGTTTGCTCACTAATGGTATTGTATCACTTATCTAGTTATGTTGTAACTCGTGTTAATATTTTAAGGTTCATATGGGTTTATTCGGTTCATTTGTGTATTGAGATATTGTGTCACTGCTGCTCATTTCAAGATGTAAGGTGGTATTAGACCTTGATTTTATTACATAGTCCTTTTTATGACTAATCACTTTTTTCATTTATTACCAGATAAATGTGATATTTGAAAACTGGAATCAACATGCAGGGATTCCAAGGTGAAAACTTTTCTCACACAAATTTTTTTTTAATTGGGTTTTCAACACTTAATGAACAGAGATGGCTGCTTTTCTTCCCTTTCTTCCTGATGTTTGCTTTGTCTGTTGCAGCCAATTCAATTTTGATATTTGTTATCAAGAAACAAAGAAGTTTACACTCTCCGATGTGTGTTTTAATTGGTGTCACATCCGTTGTCAACCTGTTTCTGACCACGTCTTTCATCCCTAGAATGTTGTTAAGTTTTTTATTTAACTGGAATGATATTTCACTGACCGGTTGTCTGACCCAAATGTTTTTTATTAACTTCACTGGTTCATTCCAGTCATCCATTCTCCTCCTGATGGCTGTAGATCGCTATGTCGCCATATGCATTCCATTGCACTATAGTGATTATATAAACACTTCTAATTGCCTGAAATTTTTTTGTGCATCTTTTATCAGAAGTGCTTTTTGCTTTGTGGTCCTTTGTTTCCTTGATGGCAGGCTCTCTTACTGTAACTCAAATGTCATCGATCATTGCTTCTGTGAGCATATGGCCCTGGTGGGACTGGCCTGTGGAAGCACAGCAATCAATGGCATTGTAGGACTGTTAATAATTATTTTCATAACAATTCTGGACTGGATATTAGTCATGGTATCTTATGTCAAAATCTTTATTTCTGTTTTTTTAAAAGACTCTGGGAAGTCATCCCGTAAAGCAATCCATACCTGTACTACCCATTTAATAGTTTTGTGCTTATCTTACATGTATGTTGTATTATCCACTGTTTCATATAGGATTGGCAATGTAATGTCTCCTAACGTTCGTGTCTTCTTGAGTTTAATGTATCTACTTTTTCCCAGCTGTTTTCATCCAATTATTTATGGCTTCAGGACAAAGGAGATATGGGAACATATAATAAATTTACTAAGAAATATCAAGATCACT